TTGCTACAAATTTTTTTATTTTGTCCCTGGGCTGTAGTACATCCATGTCGCTTTCATGGATACCGGGTTTCCGTTTCATGACTATATAGTGAAGTAAAAATGCATTTACGGCATGAGATTAAATTGATTTTTTTCTTTTGCTTCAATGCACTAAACCCATAAATGCCTTTTATGGTTAATTATGGAGTTCAAGAATATTCAGTTGCTGTTGTTGAAAATGTGTTTATCGCAAAAAAAAAAAAATTTTTAAAATATTAAAACATTTTTAAATTCAAAACATAAATATATAGTATGAATAAAATAATACATACATTAAAAACTAGTTGGAATGGGTTATTACTTTTAGGTTGATTGGAAAAAGAAAATTAAGTGCATTTGATTAAAGAGCCGTTTGAGAACGACTTAAAATATCTATTCAATATAATGACTGTACTATTCTACTTAAAGCGACTAGAATGTATTTTCGATAGTTGTTACTTTGATGTAGCTAATGATTACTATTTATTGGATTGTTGATTAGTGTTAAAGTTTCGGATATGATAATAAAAAGGAAGTTTTTAAGGAAGTTTTCTGATATATTATAAAATTACTGTAGATTTTCGTTATAATTGGTATCGATTTTAATTTGTTTAATCAATTACTGTTTCAATAGAATCAATTAATTAATCAAAAGTTATTATTATTATTATTATTAGAGAGCAAATACGAACTGTAAATTCTAACTAAATATGTAATATTCGTGTTAAACATATTTGTTGAACGATTTCAATATGTCTCTCTCTCCTTTTTCCATATCTCTGTCTCTCTCTTTTCATTTCCCTCTCTCTCTCTTTGTTTTTTTCCCTCTCGTTATTTTCCGAATATCTTTTGCGATCATAATGTACTTATATTCACATTCCTTGTATAACTAAATATATACGAGTATTTGTTCAGGAAATTCGTTTAATTTCTTAAAATTGTGCCACAAGAAAGCACAAATTATGACTAGAACCAATTTTTATTAAATTTTTTTTGATTTGAGACTTTTAAAATGAGAAAACGTATATCAAGTCATGTCACTTTCACCATATATACTGGTGAAATACTAACTGGGATACTAAATTAAATTTTTGAGAGTTTGTATTTTATTAATTTTGTTTATGTTCAAACTTAATTAAGTTAAAACTTTTTCACATCACATATCCATCATAACCTTTCCACTCGTAATTCATTTATTATATTCAAAATTACTTGTTTATTGGAACTGACATTAAAAAATTGCGTTTCCAAAAGTTTTTCAAATTTATCTTGTAGATTTCCTTTTCATTTATTTAATTTTTATTTTGAGAAAACTTTTAATACGAGTAGGAACAAGACTGTGATGGGAAACTTTAACCCAAAAAGGATGTTCAGAATTAGAGTGTCTATAACAACAGTTGACACTTTTAAGTATTTGCTCTTTTACTGCTTAGTAAATACGAGAAAGTTAAATTAGGGTACACATTATTCCTTGCTAATAGTCCTCAACAAACTTTAAATTGGGATATTTTTAAAGCATCAAATCATTTCAAGTACAGGCAAAGTTCCCTTCTTTGGGATAACAAAATTTAATTTGTTTTAGAAACTAATAAAAAATGAATTATAGACTTAAAAACTATAGTTAGAAATAAGTTTGCATAAATATTCCTATGTATTTAATATGAAGATTTATTTTATTCATGCCATGGTTGTTGTAAGAGAGAGAAACTTTTAATAATATAATGTCAATATACACACGCATTAAAGAAAAATATACTTTTATTTCATACACTAACATATATAATTATTTCAACACGTAATCAATAAAAACTCGATAACTTCATTTGTATCTTATTAAGCTGAATAAATCGTCTTATCGGATTGACTTCGGGTGCAAAAATCTCACATTCACCAACAAAATACGATAATCAACACTATTGCTATATAACAAGGCACAAGTTTCCATTGTCCTTGCTTAGGATATTCGCAATAATGTGGAATATTACCATAAAATTAAAATAAATTTTTCATAAATCAAATGTAAAGTTTCTTTTGTTAAATGGAAATATTTGAATACGAAGTAAGTAATGAACAGATAAAAAACACATGCTACCAGCAGTTCAGCTACAATCTATAGTAATATTGTAATAATGGAATAATTCGCAGGATACGATACCAAACAATAGTTTTTATCATATTGCATATTTTTTTATGAATTTTGTTACATTTTCAATACGCCATAAACCTGGGATGGATATCTCATACATGTGTGTAAGTCTACTTGGCTTCAAATGAGTACATGTGTGGGTCTTCTGACTCTTGCAACAACAAAGTTGTGTTATCTATTATTATTATTATTGTTAATATATAAAGTTTTGTTTATGGAATGGCAGATCATGCAACATTTACGGCTCCCTTTAGATGTGCGCTTTATGTTCTTGTCGAAAACCGTAAATAGTTTATTATTCCTTAGGTTATACTTTCATGGTTTAATGGAATTGTGGAAATGTGGAATTAAGCTATTATGTATGAGTTAGATATTGTACAAAAAAGCAACAAACGCTCATTGTACTAATATTTTTTGGCAAAGTAGCTGAACCAGACAAAGTATCTTCATTAATAATTCAATACAATAACAAATTCATATGCTGAGTATGGTAAATAAAATTGTTTGCTGAATTAGAATAACAAAAAGACTATTTAACATAATTGTTTAATCGCTGTAAGATGCATTTGAAATCTAACAAATCTGATATGGTATATGGCATATCCTCTTAATAAGTCCATTGGACTATTTTACAATTAAAACAAATGTTGATTCTATTTTATTCAGATTTTTTTTCTGTTTAAGTACATATGCTCCTCGTGTAAACTGATCATTTTCTTCTTCAATGTTTATTTAATCTGTCCTTTAGTATAATACAAAAGTGGCATTCCTTCTGTATGTGACAAATTATTTATGTGCACCAATTAAACGCATTTTCAGCAATTAATTGATTCATTGGATCAGCTTTTGTTGGCATGAAAAGCTCTGTTACATGTTCAAATGCTAGCTAAGCCATGTAAACTATCCCATCAATTATTTGTGTCTACAGTCGGAATTATTTATGGTCATCTTGATTGTCAATCAAAGTAGATGCTCTCAATTTGCTGTAATGCGTTAAGTAAATTACACCGCAGTTAATATTATGGTAGCAGTAGTAATGAAAATGGATTTGACTGCACAAGGATACGTAAGCTGTTGTTATCTCAGTGAGACAGTACACGCAAAGGAGTGACGATTTTATAACTGAAGTAAATATTTGTAAAAATTAATGCGTACAAATATAACATGAAATCTATATCACACAAATCTACATAATTGCTCGACATAGAGTATATAATACAACTAGCAGGTCGTAGTAGTAAATTTTCAAAAGTAAAATTCAAAAAGAATAGGTGCATATGGAATAGTTTTTGGGATTTTCACTATATACGTTGTGATATATACAACTTCAGAAGACTATTTATAGGCTTTGATCTATCAGTGTTAGATAATGCCATTATCACTTTTCACTTTTCAATTTTACTAGATTTATTACTCTTAATGGAGTTATAATATATTATATAACATATATTGATCGAGATATATTTTTGTTATTAATTTTGCTTCATACCAGATACAAGTATTATGTTATTGCTTTTATATCAGACTGTTAGGAATTAGATGATAATATACAGACAAAGAATCTAGCGTACAAAGAAGCGCCACTCTCATACAAACAAAATACCTACTTTATTTTGCTGATGGATTTATAATAAATCCACCCAATCTCATGCAACAGTATTCGATAAAGTCACAACTGGTATGACGTTCAGTTCAAGCGTGTATTTACAATGTTGTTCAAAAAGTTCAGGGGATTGAAATAAAAGTCCCATTTTCATTGATAATAGTGACCAGGTCTTTAGTATAATATCCTTCAACTTCAGTGTTTTTATTCCAATAATCCTTAAAATTTTGGGTTCCAACTTTGTAGAGGATTTTCGAGAGATATAGGTATTAAAGTGCTCTCTACTGCAGCCTTTCCACTTTTTTTTAATAAAATCGTTTTCTACGACATAGTGTTTTGAGATGTACGAAGCCGCTAGGGTACAAGTGGTCTTGCTAAAAGATC